GTCATTAAACAAATTGGACTCCCACTACGTGGTCATCCGATTTTATTAATCACTCGTATGATTACAGACTGAATTGTACTCCACTCAGTCCTGTTACCATTACTTATTATTATTATTATTATTATTATTATCATAAAGCTATGTGCAAACGGACACAACAACTCCCAATACTGCTGGGCCAACAATGTTGGGAGTTGTTGCATCTGTGTTGGCATTGGTGTTCAAATGGAAGCAACAACTCCCAACAATTTGGGGACCTGCAGTACATCGTGGGAATCGACTATGATTCAGTGGCGTTTGTTCTAAGTTTGCTCTAACTTTCTAAAGTGAGTCATTGATAGTAGTCTGTACAACAAATGAGGCAGAGCCCCAGCCGATTTGATGTTTCGTCTGTAAATGGTGTTCAGCAATGTGATTGTTAATATCACCATTTCTTGTCACTCATTTGTGTTCAGTCAGTGACATGCTAAGGTCTCTCTCAGTTTCACCCATGTAAGTGGCCTGGCAGTCACAGCATTTTGATCTTGTATACTGCTCCCTGTCTGTCCTCTGGTTTATCTTGGTCCTTGACATTAGTAAGTAGTCGTTGAAAGTGGTTATACATGTAGGTTTGTGTGCAACACAGACATTGCAAGTTTGTAGTATAAGTGCGATAGTTTCAGAGGTGCCTCTGATGTATCATATAGTCGCTGTCATAACAGGGCCAGAGTTGAGATTGGTCCAATGTTATTATGAGTGTTTTGTCTGACAAAGTCTGCATTGTAGTTGTTTTTACTAAAAAGGTTGTATAGGTAGTCAGTCTCATCTTGTAGGCTGTCAGGCAAGTCACAAACTAATTGCGCTCGTCTCGTCAAAATTCGTATAGTTGTAGCCTTGAGAAAGGTCAGGTTATGTAACGACTGGTCTAGTAATCTGTCGGTATGTGTCAGTTTTCTGTAAAATGTCATTTGTTTGTTGTCGCAAGTGACCAAGCAGTCTAGAAAAGGTATTTTACCATTTTTTCACTCTCCTTGGTAAATTGTATGTCTGCGTTCTGTTTGTTAAAGGTGTTCATGGAAATCTTCGCTTTCGTCTTTGTGTACAGCGGAGAAAGTGTCATTAACATAACCTAACCAAAGTGGTATAGTTACGTGTAAGTGGCTAGGGCTTGTTTCTCAATGTTTTGTATAACAATAATCTGCTATAACAACAGAAACTGGAGAATCCATAGTTGTACCATGGCAAACACTACAAACAGTTTCACGGTACTGAAAGTACGTCAAAGTTAGGCAGAGGTTGAGTCGGTCCATAATGTCATCTGCAGTTAAGTATTTTGACAGTTGAATTGAATGAATTCATTTGTCCCTGAAGCAAACAGTATTAAATTCAAATCTGCATTCCTACATGCATATGAAGTGACTTTTTGGCTACAACTTCTCCGTATTTGGTCAGATTAAAATTTCTTTGAATGGATAAAATTGCTTTCAAAATATTTTATAAATATCAAAATAAATTCAAGAAAACTGAGCTGACAGAAACTTCATAACAACCTAAATGAATTCGCCACTCATTATACGTTAAAGAATAATGCAGTAGTTAGACTAACCATCAAAAATTCCCTCAAGCCCAGTTGATCAGGGTCTTTAGCTTTCAGTTCCAAGTATTCTTCATCTGAAATTGATTCCAGATCGTTTAACCCTTTCCTGAAATCTACTGCTTTCTCTTGAAGTTTTTTGTTTTCGAGTTCCAGGGCCTGTTGCCTTTTAAAGATTTTTGCCATCTCTTGCCTTGTTCGTTCAAGAGAACTCTTGGATTCCTCCTGCTGTAGTTTAAGCTGCGACTCAAGTCGCGCTTGAAGAATTTGCTTGTCGTGTCTCATATCCGCCACAAGCTCCTCCAACTCGTCCACTTTACTAAGATAATCAACCTTCATGTTATCAATGATAAGATTTTTCTGGCTTAACTCGATACGCAGCAGCTCCAGATCGTGCATCAGTTGTTTCTTATCGATTTCATGTTTGGTTATTCTGTTTTCTGACTCGCTATCCACTTGAGTAGAGGAAAGCGTCGAACTTGTTATCAGAGTGGTAGATTCCACATCCGTCGTGTTGTCTGCAGTTGTGTGACTATCATTTTCCGTCTGTATTGTGCTGTCTTGACTGTTTTCGTTGGCATGAGAGCTTCGTGAGGTACCATTCTCGCTCCGTGACATTATTTTTAAATGATCAAGCGGCATAAAATTCCACTGAGGTCAACCTTCAATAGCAACGTTATGCTTGCCGACCCTTCAGCGCCGCTAATACCGCCATTTTGAACGGTTTTTGGCAAAAACTAGTTCTTAGTCTTTCTCGTCCTTCCATGTTTCTTATCTGATAGGGGCTGGGGCGAGGGAGGTGGCTGCACTTAGCGCTGCACTTCAGGGCGGAAAAACGTTCTGCGCAAGCTTCTGCGCATCCCTTATCGCAGGCTCAAGGCGGGCTTTTCTATGTGTTGACAGTTGTTTGTTTGTTTGTCACTGAGAGAGTTCTGACTAAGACTGAATGAAATGCACAAGGTTTGAACGTTTGCTCCTCGAAAAGCCTTTTTACTTTTGTGTGGTTTTTGTTTTTCGTCACTTGAAAATTACTTTGGACTCAGACAACCAATGTTAAAGGAAAAACGGATCATTCCGTCAGTCTAAGGTGGAATAAAGAGTTTTGAACATTTCCAAAGAGGCGAGTATTTTTTTCATTGTTCATTCAATTTATTTGTGAGTTGATTTCGCCTTCTTTCGCCCGGCTGAATTAAAACCCACTTTTTTTAAAAATTAGTAAATACTTTTTCACATGCCCAGATTTACTCCTTTGTAGAACCAGCTTTATCCTTCTCTTCAGTCAAAGAACCATTTTGTGCGCCGTAAAACTTTCTCGGAAATACCGGTAGAAGGCCAGTAAACTTACTCTAGAAGAAAAGAATCTTTTTTCTGTTGCTCAAATACTATAAGTAGTCAGAGTTTTCTTCACTTTTAATTACATAGTTTTGTTTTCCACTGCACTGTGAAAGTTTCTGTTCTTTATAAGAAATAACTTTCTGTACGCAAATTTTCCATTTCACTCGCTGTGAAGTAGAGGACAACTGCCGGTAGTCACTTCAAAACAATTGACTCTGCCCGTAACACTGAATTGCTGGAGCTGGATATGTCTGAAGCGAGCAAAACATATACCCTTATGTGCAGTTTTCTGAATTTTGTAACGATTGGCTGAGTTTAATTTGCTTGAATGAAGACCCTCACATGGACCAGT